ACAAAACAACAAATACCATTATTCATATTCCTAGAAATATACTACATCTATGACTCAATAGTAGGATGCAATAAAAAAGGAACATTCAAAGAATCTTCCCCCCCGAAAAGAAGATACTAAAAATATAATACAATGATAAACTGAAGTGAATGGTTTGAAAGATACAGTCAAAGAAGCTACTGGAATTCCTTCTCCACTGTGACTGCATTATGGTCCATCATCCCTCATCCACCAGCAAGAATCTACCACAGGAAAGGCCTACTAAACCCATGGTATGGTCCAGAGTAAACAGGACAGCATGAGATCTCAGGGCCCTTGGGCCCAATCACCACCACTGCTGTGGAGAAACAGTGAAGTGTTTCCTCAAGTCCGTGGGCTTCCTGGCAGAAAGGGCAGAAGCAAAGACAGATGGACACACAGACACACACACACACACACACACACCTGGGTGCCATTAGGCTGATGAGAAAGAAATGGAGAAGAGATTCGGTAGAAATATTACTGGGCTGGATAGAAGGGCCAACATTGAAAAAGGGGAGAGGACAGTGCAGATAAAATGGAAGGGAGGGAATCATCACCAAAATTATTCAAGAAAAGATCCTATACATGAAAGACATGAATGATTGCATTGGAAAAACCCAGTGGCCGTTCACAATGGGTGGAAATAAATCCATGCCAGTTTCAGAATTCTAAGACAAAGAAGATTCCACAAATTTATAGAGTTAGAAGGCATATAATACTTACAAAGGATCATGAAGCAGAATGGTTTAGGACTCATCAAAACAAAAGTGGCAGCTGGAATTACAGAATTCTAACCTAGGATCTTGTAGTCAGCCAAACTACCAATGAAATGTGATGACAAAATACATCTTCTTATATTTGAATTCTCAAAAGAAATAGCCTATAAACTATTACTCAGAAACCTACTGAAGGATGTATTTGACCAAAGTGAGAGAGTAAGCCAAAAAGGAGGAAGACATGAAATTCAAGATGGGAAATCCAGCATCGAGAGAGGTAAAGGCAATTCCCAAGGTGAAGAGGAAGGGAAGGGATTTCTTAGATGATAGCCATATGCTAGTCAGGAAGGCAGTCCAGAATGAAGCACTGTAACTCCAGATACAGATGTGTTGCGAGCCTTCTGTATTATACATTCTTGTGTCTGATGATAATGGGTAGTTTGTCCCCAGAATCTTATCTGTACTTAGTTTATAGGGACTATGTGCTGATGAAATTCTTGCTCTCTCCTGTGTACCCTGCTACCTGGATAACCAAAGACGTTCATTTCACCCCACAGAAGAATTTTGCTTTGAACTACTGCTGAGAGCTGAAGATTGGCCCTGGTAAGTAAGCTTAGAAGGAGAAAATGGAGAGTACTCTACTCCCACTGGTCATATTCTGTCACATCTCAGCTCCTGACCCACACTGATACGCTGTCAGATGCCTTCACTGTGTTGAGCCCTGTTAACTGGGACTCATTCTTGCCTCCCCTAAATGGGGTTATGATAAACTCTTTGAAAAGCTGAAGACATCATCTTCTCAGAGATGTTCATCAAACAATGACAATAATACTTTTTCCATGCACAGCCAGGTTTATGCTTTCCTGATGGTTTTTAAATTATTTTTTCATTGATTTATATACAAATACTTACAGTTAAAATAAGAAAATATTTGAGAAAATCTATTCTTGTCACTCACCATATTAAAAAATAAAGGAGAAAAATATGTGAAGATAGCAATAGATTTAGAAAAAGCATTCTATAAAATTCAACACCTATTTACAATCTAAAAACAAAATAAATCCCTTTATAAATGACTAATAGAAGGGAACTTCTTAACCCGTAAACTCTACAGCATCTAACACATTTAGGCATGAAATGTTAAAAGAAATTTCTCTTCAAAATGGAGACTAAAACAGGAGTATATATTATCACCACTTCTATTCAACATTTTACTGGTTGAAGCCCTGTCCAACATAGTATTTGCAAATGACATGATCGTGTACAGAAAATGTCATAGGACACGTACCAAAAAACTGGAAGCAGTAAGTTGGAATTCAACAAGGTCATGAAATTCAGATGAATATTCAAAAATCCTATTTCTATGTACTAGCAGTGGAACAATTGAGAAGTGAAATTTCAAAAGTACAATTTCCAGTAGCATCAAAAAGCATCAGATGTTTAGGAACTAAATTTAGCAACAGTATGCAAGACCTGCGTATGGGAAACTACAGTGAACAGTTTTTTGCTGAGAGAAATTAAATAAGATCTAAATAAATGGAGAGATGCACCATTTTCATGGATTAGAAAACTCAATATTATTAAGATGTCTGTTCTCCCCAGCTGATCTATAGGTTTAATCAATCATAATCAAAATCTCTACAGGATTTTTGGTAAAAATTGAGAATCTGATTCTGAAATTTGCATGGGAATGCAAAGAATCTAGAAGAACCAAAACAGTTTTAAAAAAGAACAAAGTTAGAGGACTTACGCTTCTTGATTTGCTCTGTGTTACACTAATCAAGACAATGTGGTATTGGTGGTAAGAATAAAATACAGATCAATAAAAACATCCACATATAGACCACTCATCAATACTGACCTGATGTTAAGTAAACATCCAAAGGTAATTCTTTTGGAGAAAGGATACTCTTTTCAATAAATTGTGTTGAAACAACTGTATATTCTCATTTTAAAAAGTGAACTTAAGGGCACCTGGGTGGCTCAGTTGGGTAAGCATCCTACTTCGGCTCAGGTCATGGTCTCACAGTACATGGGTTTGAGCCCCACCTCAGGCTCTGTGCTGACAGCTCAGAGTCTGGAGCCTGCTTCAGAGTCTGTCTCCCTCTCTCTCACTCTCTGTGCCCCGCCCCCCCCTCCCCCCCCCCCCCCGCTTGTGTTCTCTCTCTTTGAAAAATAAACATTTAATAAATAAATGAATTTAAACTCATGCCATTATAAAAATTTCTAGAATTGAATCATATCCCTAAATATTTAAGCTAAAATTATAAAACTTCCAGAAGAAAGTGTAGTTTTTGCAGCCTTTGGTTAGGTGAAGTTATTATATAGGACACAAAAAGCTATAATGAAAAAATTTGTAAGTTGAACTTTATCAAAATAACAAATTTTTATTCTTCAAAAGACATTGTTAAGAAAATGAGAGGCAGGGGTGCCTGGATGGCTCAGTCGGTTAAACATCTTAATCTTGATTTTTGCTCAGGTCATGATCTCATGGTTTGTGAATTTGAGCCCCATTTCAGGCTCTGAGCTGACAGGGTGGAGCCTGCTTGGGATTCTCTCTCTCCCTCTCTCTCTTTCTCTGCCCCTTGCCTATGCGTGCACATTTGCTCACTCTCTCTCCCTCTCTCTCAAGATAAATAAACTTAAAATAGTAATAATAAAATAAAATGAAAGGCAAATCACAAACTTGGAGAAAATACAACATACATATATCCAACAAAGGACTTAACGTCTAGAATATATAAAGAAGTGTTGCAATTAAAAAAAGAACTCTTAGAACTCAAGAAAGCAAATATTTTTTTTAAATAGGCAAAGATTCAACAAACACTGTATTGAAGAAGATAATATGGATGGCAAATAGCATATAAGATGTTCAATAACATTAGTCACTAGGGAAATGCAAATCAAAACCACGATGAGATACCACTAACACCTACAAAGAACAACTAAAAGGAAACAAACAAAAACCGATGTTATACCAAGTGTTGGTGAGGATGTAGAACTAAAAACATACACTGCTGGTGGGAATGTAAAATGATACACACTTAGGAAAACAGTTTAACAGTGCCTTAAAAAGTGTAACATTCACCTGCCATTCAGTACAGGTGTTCCTCTCCTAGCTTTTTACTGAAGAGAAATGAAAACATATGTTCATACAAAAACTTACAATGAAAACATATGTTCATACAAAAACTTACTTGTCAATGTTCGTAGCTATTTTATTATAGAAAAAAACTGGAAACAACATAAATGTCCACCAACATTCGGACGGACAAACAAATTGTGGCTTATCCATACAATGGAATACTACTCAGCAATAAAAGGAAATGAAGTAGTGATACACATAACAACATGGGTGAATTTCAAAATAATTATGCCAAGTGAAAGAAGCCATACAGTGAAGATCTACTGTATTATTCCCTTTACATAACATTCTAAAATATGCAAACTATGCTTTTGGAGATGGTGGATATGTTTGTTATCTTGATTGTAGTGTAACTTTCATGGGTATATACAGATGTACTGATCAAATGTACACTTGAAATATATTCAGTTTAACATAAACCAGTGATACCTCATTGAAGCTGTAAAAAATATATAAGCTATTGTTCTTGTTTTGGGTAACTCACCAAGCTTCAGTTTTCTCATCAGTGATGTGCAAAGAATAATACCTGCTTCACAGGGTTTATTTGAAGATTTTACTCATATGCTTGTGTATCTAATTTACTATGGTGCCTACCTGACACATAGCAAGTAACTCAGTCAATGTTAATTCTGTTCCAGCATCCCCCTGCCTCTTCCAGAGGACTGATACAGTCCGTCAGATTACTTTCTTGAAGCACATAGCAATCAAATGGCACATTCTTTCTCATTTTTTTAATAGCTAAATCTAGTCTGCAAATGTATTAGAGAATTTAATAGATAGGTTTGCTTTTAATACTAACAAAAACCTTTCCTTCTCGGGGCACCTAGGTGGCTCTGTTGGTTGAGTGTCCAGCTTCGGTTCAGGTCATGATCTCATGGTTTGTGGGTTCAAGCCCCGCATAGGGCTCGCTGCTGTCAGTGCAGAGCCTGCTTCCGATCTTCCGTCTCCCTCTCTCTCTGCCCCTCCCCCGCTTGTGCTCTCTCACTATCAAAAATAAACATTAGAAAAACCCCCCAAAACCAAAAAACCTTTCCTTCTCGTGAAAGTGATGGCTTCAAGCTCTGATGATGACAGGAGTTGACACAATTTCATTTTGCTTTCCCTTTTTTTCCCCACAGGGTTTATCCATGGCTCAGAGGACTAGGTTATACATCTTTGGGCATATTTTTATTGGGATTTCTGTTATGGAACATAGATAACATATTTTGTGATTCACTGAGGTAAGATGTGCATCTTTTTCAATCTTTGAGAAATATTTTTAGAAACAGTCTATAAGCAGAGAATTTCATAGGCATATAGAATTATTAGTGCCACTAAGTGAATTTTTGCCATTGTTGAATTTAAAAGTATGTACAGCACAATAAGGTTAAATTCTGAGAACACTTTTTTAATTAACCTAAAAATTTGGACCCAAGACTATTTCATAACATCTGTAGGGATTTTTTTGTGTGCACATCACAGAGCTATAGAGTTAATCAGATGTTAATTAGGCCTTTGAAATCTGCCTAATCTGTGTTGAAAGTGTTGAAGAAATAAGAATGATTTGTAAGAAGCATGGGATATATATGTGTATAATTTTGTACCTTAATATACTTAATGTTCTTTTCTAAGGCAAGCATTCCTTTTACCATCTTGTCAGCTATTTGTATTGACTAAAGTTTGAATTTTGGGTCTCTGGATCCTAGTCTGTCATTAAGATACTATATTTCTGGGCCTCAGTTTCCATAAAGTGAACTTGTTAAATAGGTTTAAACTAGCGGGTCCTTCCAATTCAAAATTCTGTGCCCTAAAGTTTTGCATAAACACATATATTGAATAGCACCAGGGAGAGGCAATTAGCAAAATTCAGACTGTGAGAAATCTATAGGATGAATACCTGGTTTCTGCAGCATCAGTTGCAGAGGGGGCAAAAAAGGGAGGAGAGACATATAGATTAAAAGAGACCTAAGAGATTTACGGTATCAACCAAATACAATGGTTGACTTGTTTTGAATCTTGATTTAAGCAGACAAACTGTAAAAAAAAAAAAAAAAAAAAAAAAATTCTAAACTTACAAGACAGTTGGAAGTTTGATCAGTAATTGAATATTTGGTGATATTAAGAGATTAATGTTAATATTTTATATGTGAAAATAGTATTATGGTTAAGTTTTAAAGAGCTTTTAATCTTTTAGAGACACATACTAAAATATTTAGAGTTAAAATACAATATCTGGGATTTGCTTCAAAATATAGAAGGGGAGAAGCAGATGAGAGTTTAGATGATTGGCTGTTAGTTACAAGTATTGAAGCTGGATAATGGGTACATTATTATTTTGCCTATTGTTGCACATGTTTGAAATTTTCCATAAAATAATAAAAATAATAAAAAGTTAAATAAGTAAATTTAGATTTTAAATGTATGTAAATAAACAAGTAATATACCTAGCTTAGAAAACTAAGGTCTGAGTGAGTAGTTCTGAATCAGTAATATACATCAGAAGCCCTATTAGAGCATTTACACTGCTGAGATAAGTCATCATCTTCTGGGTGAAAGCCACCAAAAAATAAAGTAAGTTCTTAGAGATGGTAATTGTCTCAAAAATTTATGGGCTATGTAGAAAAATAGTTTGGTGTTTAACATTGATTTTCTCCCTTCTAATAATGAGAATGTTAATATGGTACACACTTAATCAAAAGATCTAGAATCTGAGACTCAGCTGTGCCACTTGGCTGAGTGATTTAGGCAACTTGGTCTCTGAATTTTAGTTCCTCATCTGTAGAGCAAAGCTAATAATAGCTACCTCAATGTCTCACCTAAGTAGTGAAATAATATTTACAAAAGCACTTCGTAGACTGTACAGTGCTCATCTAAGATGACGGTTGTATGTAGGCCAAGGAAAAGCATGTGTCTGGTTTCTTGACTGAATAGCTAAGTAGACTAATGTTTCCCAAATTGTGTTCCAGGAAACACTAGTTCCATAAAATGTTAGTAAGATACTACATTACAAAAGGGTTCTGTGCATTAGTTCATTACCTGAAAAAAAATGAAAATAAACTCTTACAGTTATGATAGGACTTTTCAAAGCCTTTATTCTGTTAATACATACTGCAGTTTCCAAGAGGGCAATAAACTATGTACCATTTCCCGCATTTTTTTTGAACACAGCATCATTTCTTCATGGAACTTCTGCTAGGAATGCTGTTCCTCAAAACACACTTTGGAAAACAATGTGGCAGACTACAGCAGACTTAAGGAAATTAAATAATTGCCATGTTTCAGAGTCACATTTCAAAATGTTCATAGGCTGTCAGCATTAGTTGCTAACTATTAAAAAAAAAAAGATAATAACATGGTGATTTCTTCCCTCCACTTTTCACAGGAACTTTCGAAAGAAGATGCCACCTATCATAGGTGTTGCCACACAGTTTCATGCATGGTGGCATATTTTAACTGGCCTTGGTTCTTATCTTCACATCCTTTTCAGGTAGGAAATAGAGACTGTTTTAGCATAGTGTTGAAGTATTTATTCTCTTACTCTTCAAAAAGAATGGTGTAGATATAAAAAGACAAAATCAGGAACTTATGTTCCAGCTTTGCCTCTGCCACTGGATGACCTTAGGCAAGTCCCTTCCTCTCTCTCAAGCTTAGTTTTCTCATCCTTAAATTAAATTTTTTTTTCATGTTTATTTACATATTTTGAGGGAGATAGAGCATGGCGCATGGGCAAGCGGGAAAGGAGCAGAGAGTGGGGTCAAGAGACTCCCAAGCAGGCTCCACACTGTCAACACAGAGCCTGACGCAGGGCCGGATCTCATGAACCGTGAGGTCATGACCTGAGCCAAAATGAAGAGTCAGACGCTTAACCAACTGAGCCACCCAGGCGCTCCAAGTTTTCTTACCCTTAAAAGTGAGATAGTTGTACTAACTCACCTTGACATATGATCTACATTTTAGAGCAAGTAGGATATAAACATTTCCATTTCATGTCGATCAACATATCTTTGTTTATAGAGAACAAACTTAGAGGGGAAAAAGCAGCCAGATCCCCTGAGTAGGAGCCTGGGAAAGTATGAGTATCAGAAGTCCCCAGCTTAATTTGTCTCCTTCCCTGAAATAAGTTGGTTGCCATTTCTCTTCCCCTGCTCCCCTATCAAATGATTGTTGGAGGTCAATCATTTATAACAAAAATGAAGTTAGAATTCTCTCTGATCACCCTATTCAAATAATACCTCCATATCACTCTGTCTCCCCTTACCAGGCCTCATTGTTCTTCAAAGCATTTATAAGCAGTTATATATATTTACTTGTTTGCCTCCCCCAGCTAGATGTTAAGTTCCTTGAGAGCGGAGACTTTATCTTACTCACTGCTACCCTCTCAAATGCTTAGAACAATACCTTTCAGATAGCAAGCACTCAGTATATATTGTTAAATAATTGAATGAATGAGTGTGTATCTATTGGTCTCTTTACTGGGGGTCAGACTATGTTTAATTTCAAATTCTTATTAAGAGTTGAGATAGCTGAAATAATTCTAGAAAGGGGAAGAAAATCTTCCTTTGAATCAATGTGAAAATTTGTAGAAAACCTGCAAAATAACATCTGCATCTCACCTCTCTGGAGATCAACTTATTTAGGTATCCTGAATTATCTAAAATATATCTACTAGTAGTAGCCACCTAGGTGGCTTAGTCAGTTAAGCATCTGACTTCTGCTCAGGTCATGGTCTCATGGTCCATGAGTTCAACCCCCATGTCGGGCTCTGTGCTGGCAGCTCAGAGCCTGGAGCCTGCTTTCAATTCTGTCTCCCTCTCTCTGCCCCTCCCCCGCTCACACACACATGCACATGCTCGCTCTCTCTCTCTCTCAAAAACAAACATTAAAAAAATGTTTTTTTAACGTAACTACCTGTGAATTATAGAAAAGGAACTTCTGGACAGCTAAATAAGAATCATTGAATTAATGCTGTGAAGAGCTCAAGGTTATTAATCATGGAAGAGCTCTTAAACTTTGGCTGTAAGTATATTTATTTTACATTTTGCCACTTGTTACTACATTGATTATTTGGATTCTCAGCTCGTAGCACATTAAAAATATCCAATTTAAAATGGAAGGGATAGGAAATGTATGGTAAATCGATAGGTGCTAGAAAAAGAGAAACAAGAATAACTGTAGAATGAGCCTGAGAATTAAAACTTAGCACCTTAACACTGCCCTTGGGACTACGCAAGGACATTACTGCAGTGTAATATAGTATAGTAGTAAATTTCTATAATAAATACTGAAGAGGAGGTGAAAGCATACTTATCATATTGTTTTTTCCTTTTACACCTTCCCCTTTCCACCTCCCTTTCACTTTCTCCTTCTCTACTCCTGGTATGGAAAACCAGGGTAATGAGGGGGAAGAAGTGCTGTGCAGAGATGGCAGCATTCAGTGTCCTAAGAATGAGGAAAAAGGGGTCGGTGGTAGCAGCCTGCTGAGCTTCCAAGAAAACATGGTGGTGACGGGGAAGTGGCAGCTGTGTGGGGCAAGGAAGCAGAGTGATGAGGGGAAGTGATGTGGTGGGGTGGGTGGAGGAGGCGGCTGGAGTTAGGAAATGGGTTACACTGAACAAGTAAATCAATTAATTAAACATTAAGTAAATATATTGAGGATAACAAAAGCCTGATTTCTCCACTCTCTCAGAAGGGATTTACAAATACTGAAAGAGGGAAAGCTAGAAAGAACCTTGAGGGGGTTAGATTGGAATTAAAAGTATTAGTATGAACTCAGGAGTATGTGACACACACATGTTCACACAGATATGGAACAAGTTGGATGTGTATGTGTTGTATAGATTATAAATATATATGTATACATATGTTTACACATACATGCATTGCCTAGCTCTGTGAACCCTGTGAAGGCTGAAAGGCAAGCAAGCTTTGGCCTGTTAATAAACCTGAGGTAGTTTGAATGTTAAAATTAAACAGCGAGAGTTTCAAGTTACACCCACCGAATAAAGTGAGAATCTGTGAGTACATACGAATATGAATGAACGAGAAGGGAAAGCTCTTCCTTACAAAAAAATGCTAACTAACAAATGTAGAAGGAGCAACGGACACGAACGATCACCATTTGGCAACTATCTTAGGGACAGTTGATACGTATAAGTTATCAATGGAGGCTCTGGCTGACAAGTGGGAGTAGGATGAGGAACACATATTTGTGTAATTTAGAATATCTCCCCATGAAATACTAATACAAAGGGGAAAATGGTTACTTTACAGTGAAGAAAATTGGTAGCAGCCACCTTGACCATGCATTTAAGTTAACATCACCCATGATGGAGCAAGTCATTAGAGTATGTCTCCTGATACAAGGCACTGAAATGAGCTCAGGTCATTTCTGTAGTGTTCCTGCCAAAAAAGCCTGGCTTGGGTCTGGGTATGAGGAAATATTGCTGGGCCTATGATGCAGGTCCTTCTACAGAATGAAAGTCTTATACTTTGTAGGACTGTCAAGTTTGTGAGACAAAGAAAGACTGAAGAACTGTTCTAGCTATAAAAAGATTTTTAAGACATGAAAACTAAATGCAATTCATGTTTGTGTACAGCAACCTGGATCAGAAAGGAAGAAAGAAATTATTGGGACAGTCAGCAAAATTGGAATGAATTCTTGAGTTGGATGTTAGCCTTGTATTAATGTTAATTTCCTGACTGGGAGGGTTGTATTGTAATTTAGGAGACTGTCCTTGTTTTATGGTGGTACACATTAGGATATTTAGGTGATGGGCATCATGTCATACAGCGACTCTATAGGATATGTTTATACACTTGATCATAGGTGCATTTGTGTGTGTGTGTGTGTGTGTGTGTGTGTGTGTGTGTGTGTGTGTGTAAAACAAATGTGGTTAAATGATAGCAATTGGGTCATCTGGGAGAAGGGGATACAGGAATTCTTCAGACCAATCTTGCAACTTTCCTAGAAGTTTGAAGCTATTTTTAAATTTAAAAAATTAAAAAAGAGGAAGGCCTCCAGATCATGGTTTTGTTTTGTTTTGAGATATTTGTAGTATAAATAAGCCAAGAGAAAACTGATCATCTAACTGGTAATCAAAAAATGCCTTCTAAAACAGTAGGTTATCCATTTTTGTGAATAAAAATACATATATGGACTAAATATACATATATGCTTATAAATGCTTACTGTCTTTGTAAGGATATGTTAACCAGTAGGTACCAGCAGTTATCTCTGGGCCGCAGGTCACAGCTAGGAGACAGACTCTCTTTTTCCTGTTTACTCTTTAGTACTGTTCAGATTTTTCACCAAATGATTGTATTACCTTTTTAAAAACAATCATTTAGTGGTGCCCAGGTGGTTCTGTCGGTTAAGCATCCGACTTCGGCTCATGTCATGATCTCACAGATCGTGAGTTCGAGCCCCACATCAGGCTCTGTGCTGACAGCTCAGAGCCCGGAGCCTGCTTAGGATTCTGTGTCTCCCTCTCTCTCTGCTCCTCGCCCCCCTCCTTGTGCACACTCTCTCTCAAAAATAATAAACATTAAAAAGTTTTTTAAAAGAAAAAATAATAATTTAAAAATAAAGCAATGATATATATATACATATATATGCATATATGTGTGTGTGTATATATATATATGTGTGTGCATATATATATGTGTGTGTGTGTGTGTGTGTGTGTGTATATATATATATTTAATGTTTATTGTATATTTGAGAGAGAAATAGGCTCCAGACTCTGAGCTGTCAGCACAGACCCCAGCGCAGGGCTCAAACTCATGACCCGTGAGATCATGACCTGAGCTGAAGTCGGACACTTAACCGACTGAGCCACCCGGGCACCCCAACAATGAAGATATTTTTTATATCTATTAAGTGAGCTCTATAGTATTTTGAAATTCCCTCCTGTATTCTTTAGTTGCAGTGAAATGGCATGATCATGTATTACTTGTCAGTGTAAACTGATGTAACCCATTTGGAAAGGAATTCAACACTGTATGTGTTTGTGAAAATAAAATATTTATTTTATATTTTTTATCCCAGGTATTCTATTCCTTAGAACTTATCCTAAAGAAATAACCCAGAAAAATGAAAATGTGTGTGTAAACCCAAATATGTTTATCACAGTATTACTTAATTAGCAAAGCAACAATAATAGTAGAAGAAAAATAAAACACACTATCCAATAAGGTAGAATTTTAAAGTAAATTATAGTATATCTTTTATTCAGCTATTTAAAATTATAAATATGAGGGGCGCCTGGGTGGCTCAGTCGGTTAAGCAGCTGACTTCGGCTCACGTCATGATCTCACAGCCCGTGAGTTCGAGCCCCACGTCGGGCTCTGTGCTGAGCGCTCAGAGCCTGGAGCCTGTTTCGGATTCTGTGTCTCCCTCTCTCTGACCCTTCCCCGTTCATGCTCTGTCTCTCTCTGTCTCAAAAATAAATAAATGTTAAAAAAATTTTTTTTTAATTATAAATATGAAAATTCTATAGCAACATAGAAAGATATTAGGATTACTTGGGTTTTTAAGTGAAACAAACTAAAATCATATATAGGTAATTATTAACCGTGTGTAAAAGTTAATTTGTGTGGGGACAAAGGTTAAAGTAAATACAGAAAAAAAGGAAGCATTTTGACTATATTTGGTGGCAGGTTTTGACTTTTTTTTGTTTTGTTTTATGTTAATGTTAAAATATTTTACTTTGACTTTTTTTTTAAGTTTATTTATTTATTTTGAGAGAGAGAGAGAGAGCAGGGGAGGGCAGGGGCAGAGAGAGGGAGAGAGAAAGAATTTTAAGCAGGCTCCATGCTGTCAGTGTAGAGCCCAATGCGGAGCTCGAACTCACAAACCATGAGATCATGACCTGAGCCAAAATCAAGAGTTGGATGTTTAACCAACTGAGCCACCCAGGCATCCCTACTTTGATTTTTTTTTTTTAAGGAGGCAGGGAAGGTAGAATATGTTTTAGACATATTTCATCCTAAATAACTAAAATAAAATAAGTGTGGATATTTATTTTTGAGAGAGAGAGAGAAAAAAAACAGGCAGAGGAAGGTGAGAGAGAGAGGGAGGAAGACACAGAATCCGAAGCAGGCTCCAGGCTCTGAGCTGTCAGCACAGAGGCCGACGCGGGGCTCGAACTCACGGAGCTATGAGATCATCACCTGAGCCGAAGTCAGACACTTGACCAGCTGAGCCACCCAGGTGCCCCAAGACTGTATACAGCAAGTAAATAATGTGGCTCAACATTGTTACACAGTTATAAAGTGATGGAGCAACGATTTGAGCTCAGATATTTTTACTTCACTGTGTCAACTCTTTGAAATAAACACATGTACAGTAGTCTTAAAGGGCACACGTGTTATTACATTCTCAAATCATCCCTCTGAAATATTATTTGCATGCTTCATTCAATGACATAGCCATAGAATCAAAATTTCCATAACTGAGGCTTAAGTATCCAAACTTCTTGGGGCACCGGGGTGGCTCAGTCTGTTGAGCACAACCACTCTTGATTTCGGCTCAGGTCATGATCCCAGGGTTGTGGGATTAAGTTCTGCATTGGGCTCCACACTGAGCTTGGAACCTGCTTAAGATTCTCTCTCTCCTCCTTTGACCCTCTCCCCACTCATGCTCTCTCTACAAAAATTTAAAATTAAAAAAAAAAAAATCCAATCTCATTTTCAGCTGTTACTTATTTTAGATATTTCAAAAAAAATTTTAATGTTTATTTATTTTTGCGAGAGACAGAGCATGAGCTGGGGAGGGACAGAGAGAGACACAGAATCCGAAGCAGGCTCCAGGCTCTGAAATGACAGCACAGAGTCCAACATGGGGCTCGAACTCACGGACTGCAAGATCATGACCTGAGCTGATGTCCAATGCTTAACTGACTGAGCCACCCAGGCACCCCCAGATGTTACTTATTTTAAAGGCTACTATGAGGAAGGCTTTCTGTTACCTTCCTGATTATTTCATACCTGTATTGTAATCCTCTTAGAGCTGATATAACCACTTCCAAAATATTCTAAGAATACTCTCCTTTAATCCTGGCTACCATATATCTTCAGAGATGAAGCTGGCAATTATGATATGAATCATCAAGCATGAGCTGAATGCTCCCTGCTAAACTACAAACATCTTGAGGTCACAGTCTGAGAGTGATCATTTCTCTGTCTTCCTTAGTATCTTGCCAAGTGTTCTGCATAGAGTAGGTGCTCGAAAAAAATGGTTGCTAAATGAACAAAAGAATCTACCAATGTTGCTTTTTCTTTGTATGTACAGAGGCACTATGGTTAAATTTGTCAGTAAGCCAGTTTGCATGAATTAAATATTAATCTGAAGAGCTTTTCCCCCTCCCCTTTTCTTTCAGTTTGTATACAAGAACTCTTTACCTGAAATACAGGCCAAAAGTGAAGGTATGCTCCCTTCCTAGGGGTGTGTGTGCGTGCGTGCATGCATGTTGGGGCAGGGGAGGGTATTGGGAGGATGGGACAGAGATGGGAGAAGCGAGTGGGTGGAAAAGTAGTAGAGAGAGTACAGGCTTTGGAACCAGATGCCCTTGAATCTTAGGTCTTCCACGTACTGCTCTATGACCTTGGGCACGTCTGTTGTCTCTAAGCCTTAGTTTTTTTCAACAATAAAATGGAGCTGTTAATAGCTACATTACAGAGTGTTTTAAAGATCTGAGATGATTTCAGTGCCCTGCTCCATGCCTGGCAAAGTAGAAACTTCAGCCATTTAAATAAGTTAAATAAAAATCATTTCTGAGATCTGGTGCAACTCGGAAAAGAATATGCTGGACTCAGGCTGCTCAGGACAGTTGGTAGCAAACCTATGAAACACTGAAGCACTGTAGTAATAGCACATAGGTTCTTTTTTCAGGGGTAACATGGAACAGTTACTTTCTTTCATTTTGTCCTAACTTGTTTCCAAACAGTTTCTCTTCGGAATCTGGCCAGTGATCCTGTTTGAGCCTCTCAGGAAGCACTGATGAATTATTCCAGGAAAACAAACAAAGCATCTACCATAGGCCTGGCCAAATGAATAAGGAAATCCTTAAAGATCTACACATTCAAATATATCATGACCATCACAGCAAAGGAGTGACTTTCTAACTAATGCTGCCAGTCACACAGAGAATAAGGAATAGTCTTGTTGGATGTTGAGCTCGCGTCTTTATCTCATTTGTCCCTTCTCCTCCTCACCCTCACCCTAAGATGTTTAAAAAGAAACCGACATGATGTGTGTATATATAGTTGAATGCTGGAAAAATGAGGCTTTTCTTAACAGGTTAACAGTTTGTGCTGATCATAGGAAATTTAACCTTTTTCCCTTTTTTGACAAGGGTTGCATGTAAATTATACTTTGCTTAATATTTGATTAAATGATCCAAACAGTCAGCTAAGTATTGGCAAAACCCCATACCCAGATGGCCAGCTGTGGAGCTGGCCGTGTCAGCCTTGATTTGTGTTCTTGTCGTAGTAACCTCATGAATGGTTTTCCAAGGTGAAAAAGAGCTATCTGTGGGATTCTGGTAGTTCCTCACGGTCTGCCCTTGTGCTAGTCAGCATGTCATAAGCAAGCTCCAACTGGCCACTCGGTTCCCTACTTGCCATACCCCAGATTTGCAGTGGGTTCTGGGGTGTCTGTGTGTGGCCACCGCCAATCGGAGTTGAGTGGGTCACCTTGTAGAGTTTGCAAAGACCACAAGGACACCTGTGGGATGTTGTGCCTCCAGGCTGTTAGTTAAAGGTGGTTTCTCTGTTTTCTTTGATCTTTGCAGATCTTTAAGTTGTCACTGGTTTTATGGCTAGGCAAACATGATTGGTGGTCTGGCCTGCCAATATTCCACCCTCTTGACGGAACTTATTTGAAGTTACCAGTGAATGTTGTTTGTTACACTCTTTTTAAACTATGCCATATTTTCCAGTTTTCAGAGGGGCCTTGGTTATGCCCAGGGAAATGTATCAGGTTAACTAGAGCTAAAATGATCAGGATCCTATTTACATAAAGCTTATTAGAATGCCTGCCCCTTCATTTGTTGAAGGAAATAGATACAAGAGTTGAGAATGGCTCTCTCTTACTTGAACGAACTCCCCAAAATTAAAATACTAAAAAATGGCGGTGAAATATCATCACAAAGCAGCTAGTTCTGATTTGGGTTCAGATGTATAACAAATTGAATTACATTTCACAAACATAACACCAATCTGGAGTAAAACCTTAGTTGACCCCTTTGCCTGAGGTATCACCGTATTGGTAGCTCTGTACCACTTGGCATTTTTGCGACTTTATTATAAAACCCAGATTGTTTTTACCGCGTGGTGACATTGACCCAGATTAAATCCTGAAGCTACAGCTTCAAAAGGAAAATCATTTTTTTCTTCTGCAAAGGTATAAAAACACTCCTGTCATTTTCCCAGTATCCAGTAAGTCGCCTTCGTACAAATTTAAAACCAGTACAGATTTTGTTCTTCTTCTTCACCTTCTGGCCTTAGTTTTAGTCCAAGAACTATTTTCCTTACCAAAGCATGCCAACACGCCATTAGGCATAAACTTCTGCCTACTTTTATGATCCTCCAGCAAGAAAAGCACTTGCCAAAATAAATCTAAAGAACTTTGGTTGTGCCTTAAGAAAACCTAAAACTAAGCAGTTCTAATACACAGCCTGTAAGACTGTTCTTTCGCCATAAGATTCTGACTTCTGGCTACATTTCATGTGCAGCTACCTAGGCTATCAGCCATCTTACATTTTTCAAATAGGTTCATTTGTTTCACACCATTGTCTTTTGTACTTTTCACTCGAGCTACACTTCTGTGTAAAGAACCTATGTATGGCAACAAAGGCACAGCCTTCTTGATAGCACAGCCAGGCGCAGGGAGACTGAGGCTGTGCATATCACAGACAAGGTGTGGAGAGCCCCCACTGATACCCAAGCCCTTTCCAGCAGTTTGCTGAACGAACAGTTCAGCCACCACCCCCTGTAGTCACTTGCTGAATGAAGTTGTCCAGCACCTCTGTGGAGAAGCACAGGCACCACTGGGTGACTTGTAACGCTGTGGCCACTTGTTCAGAGACCCTTGTCTCTGCTGTGAAAACAGCTGGCATGGAAGCAGAAAGCATTTTAGAAGTGTTGAGCAGAAAGCAGAGACTGAATCCAGGCTCTAACTCTCCCAAGTTCACCTGTGCCTCACATACGGCTCTCTTTCTAGCAGCCTAAGTATTAGCACACTCAAGACTTCTTTTCTGTACCATAGCGAGTATTATGGAAATACTGCTGACTTTCAGGGTATTGCTAAATCAACTTTATTTGAATGGCTTTATTTTTCCCTTCTAGGATTCCAGGTAGGCATTGTAGGGTTGGGTTCCCTTTACTTCCTTGGCAGACTTCCTAAACTAGAGTATACAAAAACCAATTTCCTGCTGAGCAAACATATCTGATGTGAAAGGTGCTCCTCTGTGAGCCCTGTAGCAAATTACATTTTAGAAAATACTAGTATCTTATGAGGATATGAAAGCAGCAGTTGGCCTGTGTATCTTAATATCCTGCCATTTTCACTCCAGAAAATTGAAAGCAATTTGACTTTTTTTCAAGGAAAAACTAAATGAAAGGTGGTTGTCCTAATCTGGTTGGTCACTCCACCCACCCCTCCCCACCGTGGTGCTTTCATGAAAACGTTGCCAACACCTGAAGTGATCTCTTTTATCTTTGCGATATTGTATAAATTGATGATTGGGGATAAATTGATGACAAACATTTGTTTTTGATTAATTTACAAATGAGAACCTCAAGTAGTGTATTTGGTTTAGTAGAATCAGATAAAATATTATGGTTTACCCTAAATGCACAGTTTCCAGGACCATTAAACTAGTCTTTCCTTACACTAAGAATGTTTTACTTATACTGATGAAGTTTTGGGGTGATGGTGGGGTAGTCTAGAGCCGACAAGAAAGAATTCTTGAAGACGCCTTTGGTGCAAAGGTGACTTTATTAAAACAAGGAGACAGGACCCATGGGCAGGAAGAGCTTCATGGGGTCATAATAGGTAACTCATTACATACCCTCAGGTTGGGAGGGGGTCAGGGATAGAGTAAGCCTCTAAGGAATTTTGGAAGCAAGGTTTCCAGGATCTTGAGGGGCTAGCTGTTGCTAGGGAAATGCCACTTATTACCACTTAATAAACCCTCAGTCATGAGACCCTTTAGATGTATATCGAGGGCCCATAAACTTGGAGTATGATCTCCAGCGTATATCTTGGGAGAGTTGAGATAAAGGAAGTTGACTTATAGGATCCTTGAGGTTGGGATAATGTTAAGCCAAGGTTGTCTGTCTTTTGCCCCCAGCAAAGTGTCATCCTTGAGGCAGCTGAGCTAGAGGGAGGTCACTCTGCTGGTCTCAAGGACTTGTCAGTGGGCTGTAGACAGTAAGGGAATTTAATTTTTCATTTGCCTTAGTTTCCCACGTTACCATGGCAAGCATTTAAACCCCTTTCCTTTGTTCTTGGGTAGCCAGGAGTATCCGAGGACTATCACACATTCCACCTGGTGGGGGGAGGGGGGTGGTGTGCCAGCCTGTATTTTGCCCTCAGCTTGCCTCGTGCTCCCCCATCAGTACTAAAGATAAAGAGGTCAGAGTCAAAATCAAGAGACCAAAAACTTTGCATGAAAATCTTTACATGCCAAAAAAAACCCAAAAAACTATATTCTATTTAAGATTTGATTTTTAATAATCTCTACACCCAACATGAGGCTCAAACATACAACCCCAAGATCAAGAGTCACATGCTCTACTGACTGAGCCAACCAGGCGCCCCAAAACTAAGTTCTGTTTTAATGCCTACTCCTTCAGAATTTAGCCAGTGCCCCTTAAAGTGTGATAATTTAGTTTTAAGGTTTTCTTATGAGTCGTATGGGTTCCATATTACTTTGCTCTTGAAAAGAAAAAAGAATCATGTGTTGCAAAGTTTTAATAGTTTTAACTCTCAGTTGCACATTTACATGGCAAAAGAAATTATTATAACCCTGTGGTTTATGATGTGCTACTGGATAAATATTTATATAAAACTGATGTTTCAAAGAGAGTCAGTTATAATTGGAACTTGCAAACTGTGTGGCAATTTGCAGATCTACCTCTGTTTTACATTTTGCCTCTTATCGGTGCCATAATGTAATTAGTTTGATTGCATGAGTTTGTCTTGTTTTTCAGCTTACTCACTGTGCTGTAAACATTTGAAAATAATGACTAAAATTTGGCTAAAAGTAGTTAAACGCCTTTGTAGCGAGGGCTATAAAATGAAAAAAAAATAGTCATGGCCCATCTGAATGGAAAACTTCAATGCTGTTTTTTAAACTCTTGCACTTCAAGAATAAGGAAACTTTTAAATGTCTAATTGTAGTTGCTAGATGAGAAATTGCCAGTTTTGCTGGGGTTCCTGTGAGCATGCTGCTGGACTTAACAATGTCTCCTGGTGGGGAGGAAAAATCTCTCCTTTACCCTCTTAGATTCAGTAGTTGAGGGCCTGTGAATTAAACTGACAAATGAGAGATGAGCAAGAGAAAATGTAGATTTTTATTCACATGACACAGAGCATTCAGAGAAAGGTGGGGCCGGAGGCAGGATTTGGGGCTTATGTACCATCTTAACAAGGGGAGGGGAGGGAAAGAGAGGGGACTGAGGGGAAAACAAATGATGTTCAGAATGGATAAACGGGCCCTTAGGAGAATAGATGGGAGATTGGATAGTTTTGTGACCATGTCTGCTCATTTGTGATGCCAGAGTCAAAACTACAACAGTTGAGTTCTTTGGGGGAGGTTCTGCTTTTAGGCAGATAAAAAGGGAGTTCAGGGACAAAAGCCTCTTCCTATATCTGTTGATTCTCAAATGCCGTTAGCACAAAATAATTGTTATGCCACAGTGGTACGTCCCCCCTCCCCACATCTAAGACTTCCTTTATTTCCCCTAAGACTTCCCAAGATGTGTCAAGGGCCAG